AAAAAACTAAGCTAAAATTAGACAACACCTCAGCGTCATGACAACAGACAAGAAATTCCCAAGTCCTGACAATATGCATTTAATGTTTGTGATAAACAGTCAGGTCCAAGCTGTTGGGTGAAAAGCAGAGGTGTGAAGTGTTTCCTCTGGATTTAGCACTTGGTAGGGAAACGTTCCAGCAGCTGTGGTGGGCAGGGGTACAGTTAATCTACTTATATAATACACTGTATTGGCTACTCAGGAGTACAATTGAGTACAATTAAAATTATATTCAGTGCCAAAATTAAACTCATATTCACAATAATTAATAAATAATTATGATCTTGTAATAAAATGTATATGAATAAGAAGGGTGACCAATTTGACTTTAACTATTTTAAGTATATTTAATGCCAATTTTGTTTGCATTACTTAAGTAGGATTGTGGCTTTTACATAAGAAACCATAAATAATGTTACCTAGACTTGCTTTCTACGCTTTTTAAAATTTTAATCTGATTATCCATCCTTCCTGGAGAGGGAGTGGTGGTGGGGGAGTCTTGTTTTGGGGTCATTTTTTCCCCAATGCTCCCCTATTGAAATATCCTGGAAACGCCCCTGGTGGCGGGGCTGATTCAGCAGGAGAACATAAGGGAAGATTAAAACCCTCAGTGGAAGAGACGGTTTTAGAAAGAGAAGCAGCAGCCGCAAGGGAAATAATCAAAAGGGCAAATCCTGTATAAAATGCTAATCTTTTAGCCTTTCGTCTTAATATGCCAAATATCTGTCTGCGCTTTAACCATTCTGGGCAGCATGGCTGTAATCGTTGTGCGTATGGGGGGGAGAAGTGGGGCTTATCAGAAAGACAGACTTATGACACCGTGAAAAGAAACTGCTGAGTCCTTGTGCTGCTGGAGCAGAGCCAGGCAGTCAATATATGAGTCAAAATGTAACGATTAAGTCGTACTCTTGCATGTGATTACTACAAAAGATTGACAGGCTTTGTTATCTGGGAAACGAAAGGTTTGTGGAGAAGCTATGTCGAAACCTTGGAACTCCGTAGCGTTAAAACTTAAGACAATGCTCCGGCCCGTTGTTAACCCTGTTTTGGGCTACGAGACGTGTAAGTTCGCTTGACAACACACGTTTAACATTAAATCCTCACCGCGACCAGAAACAGCCATTTCCAGTAACTGAACCCAGCGAGTGTTGGGAAAGCACAACAAAGGCTTGAGGGAAAAAAAACACAGACACAGTGGCCGAGAAAGGGGAGTCAGTAGCTAACACTGGACTACAAAAGATTTACATACCTCGTCCATCTCCTGTACCATTTTTGTGAGCTTCTCGTCGTCCTCAAGAATTTCGTTGAGCTGAACCAACGTGTACCCGCTCAACTTGTTGAAAAAACTAGACATTTTAGCTGCTGTTGTGTGTTTCTCCTCCGCTGTGGTCCCTCTCTTCTCGCCTCAAATTGTGACAGCTGACTGAGCTTCCCTTACAGGAAGTAGAGAGAATACAGGCCTAGTGCCGCCTTCAGGTGCTGTCAGAAATATTGCTTTCGATGGGAAAATGAACCAATAGTGTACGATCCAACGAGGCAGGAGTGTCAAACTCATTCCGAGTTCATAGGCCACAAACCAAAATTACATTTCTTTATGATTTTAGCAACATACAGAGGTTATAGACTGCACGTAAAAGATGGGTACGTAATAGTTTAGATTTGATTTGTGTGGCCTGAATTGACGGAATTAAATGTAAGGTAGTAAGCTAGCAATCTTCCTTATTAAAATGTACCCGAAAACTGCATGGTGCAATGCAGACAGACATCTATCAGTTAAAGCTAAGACTGATAAAATACTAGAGTTTCATTGACTTTTAGAGAAAACCCTCATATGGTCATTACAGGAACTGCACTTGTTGGTAAATCCACCAATATCATTGTCACTATCACCACCTTCACCTTCATTACTATATTAATAAAATCAGTATTATTGTTAATACTATTATTTCGAAATACTGTATGTAATTAGTGTAAAAGTAATTCACGCTGTCTCAACATGTTCACTCTCTTTAACCAAGGCCTTTAAACACAGCTACATGTGAACTATTATGCTTGAGAATAGATTTATAAGGCAAAGTCACTTCACAAACAGCAGGTGGGCAGGACTTATAAGCTCACAACCAGAGCTGTATGCCTGTGATGACCATATTGGGGATATCCATTCTCAGTGACAACGTACAGTGCTAGAGCAAAGAATCTGTCTGAAGTATCAGAAGCCATTTTTGACCCACAGGGATTACTTATATATACAGTGACTTCATTATTTGAAACTTTGTTCATGTTCAATAAGAACATCAACTATTAAACATAAATATTTATTTGTAATGTGTTTATTTGTAATGTTTTATTTTTGAAGTACAAAAATAACATGAAATGTTGAAAGTGACAAAAAAACCAACGTAAAAGACCATTAAAAACCATTTTAAAAATACGCATTTAGATTACAATATATATAGTGTAATCAAAAATGGTATAGGAGATGGACGAGGTATGTACGGTAAATCTTTACCCCTATATATTGTATTTTTTTTTTAATGTGAGAACAGGAGCATGCTTCCCATATGTTGCATCATGGTTTTCTTTTAACAGCACTCTACAAGCTTTTGGGAACTGAGAAGACCAATGCTGTAGTTTGATAACTTGATTTTAGATTTCAGCTGCTCTGCAGCTCATGAATGCTTTGTCAGCTAACAGTAGGCCAAATATTTCCAGTGGGTGACAGTTCTGGACTGCAGGCAGGCCAGAGTAGAACCTGCGCCCATTTGTTTAAAAGCCATGTTGCTGTAATACATAAGGAATGTGTTTTGGCAGTATCTTAATGAAATAAAAAAATTTCATAAATAAAACAAAAAATAAAAAACCTATTTAGAATTATATGATTCCTCTTCTTTTTAGTACTGAGGATGCAATCTCTACCATTTACACATACACACACACACACACACACAAAATGTTGGTAGGGGAGACCGGGGATAGTTGTAACGTGGGTCAGTTGTAACACTTCCAATTTCTCCAATCAGGGCTAAGTTTCAAATGATGTGACTCATCCTGTGCATGCCCAATTCAGTTCTGCTATCACATGTGAAAAATCAGCACATTTTGTCAAACACAGACAATTTAACATGAAAAAAAGTAATTTGTATGCCAATTTGTAAGTTTTTCTACTTTATTTCAATTTCTAGTAGCATTATCTGCTTTGCAGTTAAACTCATCAAACTTAAATTATGTTATTTGTATGTCTATGGGGATATATTCTGTGTAGGTCTTTAGTGCTAATGTTTTAGCCGTTGGCTGTAATGTTAGCTAGTTCATGGCTATAGGAGTCTGGGTCAGTTGTAACAGCAACAGTCTGGGTTAGTTGTAACAATAATGCAGATGTTGCAACTTACCACACTATTACTTTAACTTATATTAAACAAGTTGGGGCAACGACATCAGCAGAGAGAGGTTCACTGGTCGCATTTCTATATGCGGATAATGCCATTGGCAACACAATTCTGTTTGTGTTCCCACACATACATTATGGAGACCACTGTGTCAGAGATGGACCAGTAGGAAGTATTGGTAGTGGAAATAAATCAGGATGGGGGCAAGAAACAGATTTCCTCATCTTTCTGAAGCACTTTGCAAACCACACCAAGGTAAGCCATGATAAAAAGTAATGGAATTGCGATGCTGGTGAACAACTACATTTTTTCAGCTTCATTGTTATGTTCAAAATTGGTGCAAGAGCTGTAGGTTATAATGCCCACTGAGCCAATGAGGCCAAACTCAAGGAAGACCAACCAAAATTAATGAAATATTCAGTTGCAGAAAATTCCATAATTTGTCTTTTTGGGGGGTTGGAATATGTTCAAAAGCTAGATTTCTGCATTCTGTCACACACACACACATAATTACATAAATGGCTCTAAGTGCATTCATGTGTTGAATAAACAAAGATTACACGTTAATGTTTTGTCAGTACCCTTATTTCATTGTGTTACATTTTACCCCAGGATATGTTACAACTAACCCAGACTATGGGGTTAATTGTAACATTTCACTCTTCGTGTTTGAGGCCATACCATGCAATGGGTAATTGTGCTGCAGAGAAAATAGCTGCACTATTTAATAGCAGAGACATGTAAATACTTTGCATTACATTTTGAATCCACTACCTTAAACGAGCTCCAATTTACAGACAGAAATGTCAAAAATGTTACAACTATCCCCGGTCTCCCCTACTGAAATCCTCAAACTCTTTTAACTTTGCGTTGAGCAACAGTATTCTTAAATAGCAAACTATCTGCCCACAGTTCTTTTTTACTAAGCAGGGAGGAAGATTTGAAATGCTCCGTTTATATCAGACCAAGCTACTGAACCTTTGTAAGTTAATCTATTTAGTTTAATGTACATTGGCCATTTTAAGCTTTACACATACTTGTAGAAATTTTTTTTGTACAATTTTAAATGAAAGGCTTTGATGATTTGCAAATCATTCATCTTTAAAAAAGAAAAAAGAAATTAGGTTTTAATCAGGAAATATGCGTTTAACACAGTTTTTATAGAGAGTTTTATTGCTAATGACTAAAAGATGCTCAAGTAGTCTTTATTTGAAATGCTAACCGTGACAACAACACTAGATGGCGCTAGTGTAAAAGCAAAGAGGTGGCCTGAGCCCAGTGGATGACGGTTTGTGGCCAGGGCTAAATGACAATTGTTTTCATATTCGTAGTATAGTGTAAAATATCCACCATAGATTCCTGAAGCCTTCTTATTTTGATGGAACAACGTAGAAGAAACAGCAAATTGGCAAATGTATAGACTTTATGGTGAATAGTCAATTTTTGCTATAACATTTGCATATTGGTTAGTTACTAAAGTTTCAGTCATTTTCAGTCTATAAATAAATGTTATTTCAGTTGTAGTCGCTGTCACTGAAGCAACATAAATATAATTCAGAATTTTATTTGGGATGTTTTACCAGTATTACACAGACACAGCATAGATCAGACTGTAAGATTCATATTTCATGATCCATTATTGCCATTTAAAAAGGGGATTTTACCATCATATACAGAATATATTCACTTGCCATATATACATACATATATAACATGTCTGCAAAAATAAAGAAATATTTTATTTAGCTACATTTACTTTTCATTGTCAGTGTTAAATACAATTGCAGTATGTTTCTGTAGTGCTATTCATTTTCAATCATATAATATTCTTATTGCACACTATTCCACAGACAAAGGCACCTGTCTTTTCCTTTTACTAATAATACCACCTACTCCACGCAGTAAAAACAAGCCAGCATCTCCATGCCTGCTACAGCGTAAACAATACAACAGCAGAACTAAATCCTGAGGAAGTTTCAACAAAATAATAATTATTGCTGGAGTGCAATACAGAGGTAAACAAAAACACAAAATACAGCCACGCCTCTCTTGTAGCACATCAACAGAAACACATTTTCCTTCAAGCTAATATAATATCCAAACAGGATATTCAAGTTTTATTTGTCCCCACCCTGTTTTATATGTTTGGAAACACATAGGTCAATAGTTTGTTGGAGACATACAATTTGTCATTTTTTTGTCCCTGTGGCTGTACAAGCACTTTCATGGCCAGCTGAGGCCCGTTCCCTTGCTATTTCATTACCAACGACACCAACATAATATCTGAAATTGATTTAAAGTGTTGAATGTGTATTTTATAGCTTTTCACTCTAATTTTAAATATGAACCCAAAGAGAGGTCAGTGCAAGTGAGGGAGGCCATCATTAGGCTGCAAAACCTGAACTAACCTATCAGAGAGACAGCAAAACAATGTAAAGTGCAGGATGACAGAATTCTTTCTTTCTTTTAAAAACATTTAAAACATTTGCATTAAAACAATGCCCATAATGCAACCGTTAATCTGTTAATGGCAAAGTTTTGCCAATGAAACCCCCTGAATTAAAGCTAAAAGTCTGCACATCAGTCTCATATTGATGAATTTAAAATCCACTGTGGTAGTGTGCAGGTGAAACGCTACAAAACTTGTGTCTTTGTCCAACAGATTACAAACCCAAATGCAGATTTAAGTATTTTTAACTTAATTACAGTCCAGTGCCACATCTACACACTGCAGGTCGTTCTCAGTAACGCACACTACACTCAGACTCGCTCAGGCTGCCGCTGCTGCTTCGTCCTCTCCACTGCTGTCCTCCACCTGACTTGCAGCTGGCGTTTTGTGGCGAGTGTAGGTCCTCCTCTCCGGTCTCGATGCCCAGGACCTGCCGCTGAACCAGCTTAGAGTAGAGTCCGCCGCTGGCCATCAGCTCACTGTGAGATCCCTGTTCTGCCACGTGGCCCCTGTCAATTACAATAATGTTGTCTGCCTTCTCCACTGTGCTGAGCCGATGGGCGATCACCAACACGGTGTGGTCCTGCAGGACATTGTTCAGAGCCTGTTGAACCTGTAGTGAATTCAGCAAATACATCAACACCTCTATATTATTCCATAATGGAAATATGCTGCATGTCTGCTTGGTAACAGCTGCTGTACTGAAGCTCTCCTCTGGCTTTGATAACACTTACAATGTGTTCACTTTCTGCATCCAGAGCGCTAGTGGCTTCATCCAGGACTAGAACACGAGGGTTGCGGATGAGAGCTCTTGCAATGGCAACCCTTTGTTTCTGTCCCCCTGACAACTGTGTGCCCTTCTCGCCAACACCTCAAGAAAACAGTAAGGTAAAAGTCAGTCAAATACATCATTTCATCTTATGAAACACATCTCCATTTCTTTATTAAAGAACATAGCTCTATTTTTTGTATGGCTGTGATATTTGTGCATTTAAATCTGAGCACTGTGTTAGTTTTAAGCAGACCCTAGAGTCAGGCTCAGCTGGCAAATCAGCTGATCTCAGTGTCAGCCATACTATCTCATGGTCACTTCTTACTTTTCCACACATCCTATTGGCAGATCTCAAATGGTGCATGCTACTTAAGCTGTATCAGCCAACCTATAGTTTCTGATGCCTCTGCAAGCAGCTTTGCAATGTACAGTAAAGCTCTGTATAGTAAAACAAATCTGCCAGGGACCGATGTTAAATGTGACTTTTCCTCTTGAGGTCCCAGCTTAACAAGCATGTCCATTACACATAGAGCACATAAAAAGCTGATTTACAAATGAACAGATTTAATGATTACTTGTTTCATAGCCTTTAGGAAGAGTGGTAATAAAATCATGAGCGTTAGCCTTGGTGGCAGCCTGCAGCACTGCCTCCCTGGGGACATCAGTCAGGCCATAGGTAATGTTCTCCTCAACTGTGCGGGCAAACAGCACAGGCTCTTGACCTACAAGAGCCACCTGCAGACACACAATAAAGAATAGAAATTACTGTATGCTGAAGACTAACAAGCCAAGGGGTGTATTTGTATACAAAGTATGGTATGGTAATGGTAGTTTTTTTTTTTTGTTTAACCTTTTTTAATTTGTTTCTTTTTTAGACTAGTTTTTATCATTGCCAGCAGAAACTGACACAGGGCAGGAAAAATCAGAAAACAGTGATGGACAAACACATTGGCAGTTTTGCTCTTTTCGGGAGATTTTCAGACAACTACTCAACAACAGTTCTTGTGATGTTGGATTGTGCCAATGTGCACAATAGTGCATTTACTGTTAGCATGTTTATAGCCTCCTGAACACTGTATCAGAGCCAGGCCTCCTGCTTAGTCTAGTTCCTGCTGTGTTCTACATGTGAAAAAGTAAAACTGACCCAAGTCCCCAGATATTATACAAAGATTACACATGAAAATGTCTTTTACACTGACTAACCTTGGAGTGGAGGTAGTCATGCTGAAAGCTTTGAACAGGCTTTCCATCCAGCAGCACCTGGCCTTGCTGAGGAAGGTAGAAATTTTCCAGAAGACTCACACAGGAGCTCTTCCCACTGCCTGAAGGTCCCACAAGGGCAGTCACTTCTCCGGGACGCAGGAGGAATGACACCCCCTGCAAAAAGACCCATTTCAAACTAAGCAGACATAATGTCAACCGTATCCTAACTTCACCCTCATTTAGTTGGTTATATTGTTGCAATCTTCTAGTAAACTGCCCTCATCTCTACCACCATGAGTCAAACAGACCACTTGTGAATAATTTCTTCAGGTGTTCAGGATCCCTGAGGACAAACCTTGAGAATATCAGTTTCAGGGCGTGTCGGGTAGGCAAACGTGACGTCTTTAAATTCAACCAGACCGGCGCATGTCTCCGGAGCCTCTGTGCCATCAGAGGGGTGTTCGGGTTTCCTATCCAGATACTCAAAAACCTTCTCAGCAGCTCCAACTCCTTGCATGAGGCCCGTGTACACTGATGCAATGCTCTGCAAAGTGAAGACAACATGGATTCATTGCCATGTCTTCAGAACAGAAAACAAACGACCTGTGGAGAATGATAGGTGAAATACCTCAAGACATTCGCCGAGCTCTAGCATGTATATGAAAAAAGATATCAAGGCACCGCTACTCATCTGATTAGTAATCACAAGGTGGCCTCCATAGTAGAGGATAGCCAGCTCGAGAGCAAGCTCTGAGATCTGGAAAACACACAAAAAATCCCTTGCTGTAAGGTAAAAACAGAGACCACTAAATAAACCATGCAGAATTATGTAAAGGGTAACTGCAGATACCTACACAACTGGACCACATGTAGCAAGCGTAGGCCAGGGCTTGTTTTTTGTTGAGCTGGAACATGACTAAGAGTTTGGCGTAATAGGAATCGGCCTCTCCATTCTCGTTGGCAAAGCTCCGCACCGTCCTCATGGCTGAGATGGTTTCTTCTGCAACTTTATTGGCCTCTGCGAGGGTTGTTTGCACCTTTTTGGTCAGATTCTGGAAAGAACAGAAGAAAATATAAAAGTTATCTAATCGTAAATAGTAGAGAGCCTGATTGGGAATAGTGTCAGGGATTCTTCTGTAGCAGGGGTGTGGTCTCTAGCCCGCCTGACCAGGAGGAGTCGAACATTAACTCAGCTCTTCCAGGGCACCCTGCAGACTCGGCTGCTGGCAACAGCAAGGGAGTGGGGCCGCCGCTGGGATGACGTGAACGCCAAACAGGAGTCCATCACAGGTCGACTGCAGGTATGCGAGTAAGACCTTCTGAGGAGGGTTTCACTTTTCTCTCTTCTTTATAATTGACCCTTGTTTTCTCTCTCTCAGCTCCTTGTCCCAGAGTGGGAGGGATTTGAAGCACAAAGGGAGGTTTGACCAGCTGACAGGAAACACCAGTGAAAAACTGAAACAACTGCAGGTGTGGGGTTGTTTTGATATGACATATACGTCAGAGACATTATCCTAAACTGGACTAACAAAGGACCATTAGTCCAACATGAAACTTATCTTACATAAGGTAAGGCTGAAGTTCATTGATAATTTTAATCAAAAACTTGTTGAAATATTTTTACTGAACATGCAAACATCTGCTGATGAAAATGTGTTGATCTATCGGTCTGTTATGAAGCAATTGCTATTTCTAATGTGTCTTTATCACTTTCTGATGGTTTATTAATTAAACAATACATGTATTAATTGTTGTATTATCTGTAGATATAGTATTTATATATATTTATTTATAGTATAGTAAAAATGTTTAATTATTACTGTTTAAATGACTAATATGTGACATGTATTAGTAGTGATGTGGTGCTGAGGGTTAAAATGCCTTTTTGTCTTTTGGTATACTACGAAATGGCAATAAACCATTAATATATGTCTATGCTGTGCTCGTATTTATTTTACCCTACTCAAATTCAATTTATGATACATTTTATTTTGAAAGATTTAAAATGGTTCTTTAAAGAACCTTTTTAAAAAAATGGTTCTTTGAAAAACCATTAAAGGTGGACCCTGGGTCAGACAGACAGATGACAGTCTCAGGTGTATACACTGATACAAAACAGCACAAAAGAAGGAGGATTTAGTGTTTGTGTTATTACGAGTGCTAAACAAGAAGAGTTCCCAGATGTTACAGTGGACACATGTGTGACTCCTGTGATTAAAGCATCTTTCTTTCAGCTTAACGAGTGAACCGTCAGCTTGTTCAAACACACGTTAAAGTCCGTTTGGCTCGACACCACCGAACAGAGGCAGCAATATAACATAGCTAACATTAACAGTGCAGTGAATCCTGCTTGTGCCGTGATTCAGGACTGCAAACTGAGCAGCATCACTGACTTTCAGCTTGTTGTGTTTGTGGATATATGACTGACTTTAATTATCCATAAAATCATCAGATTCTCTGTAAGATTAAGGTCGACTATTGAACAGCGTATATTTTAAAGTAAAGGCTTTAAAACCAAATTACCAAATGAACCAAATGAATATTATGTCACCCCTGATGATCCACCAGGACAAACTCAGCAGTGTGTGAGGAAGAAGAGGAGGAAGAGCCAGCAGCAGCTGACAGATGGAGAGAGACAGACTGCTCCCTGTTTGTGAAGGACTGCTAGAAAAGTTTAAAATAACTAATTGTCTGTCCTGAATCAGTCTTATTAAGTAATGTTCAAATAATTTTATGATTCCAGTGTTTTCAGTGTGGGAGAAAGTACTCAGGGCCTTCAAGTTAAACACTATGAAAGGCAGCAACAAGTTTAATGTTCAGAAACCTAAAGTATGTATCAGCAGCAGAATGGAGCTAAAAATAAATGTTTGTTTCAGTTCTATGAAGCTTTGAGTATTTTGGATCAGTAGCTGCTGTGTTTGTTGCATCATATTGCTGTAACTGTTTATATGCTTTATATATTCTGAGGTAAGTTGATCTATAGTGTTACATTATATTCTATAAGGATGTTATGTGTTTGTATACTTTCTGCCCAGTTAGACCCATTTAGCAAAGTCAGCCTGTTTAAGGCTCTGATATCTATTCTGTGTGACTTAAAGCAGTTATGACATGGTCTGATTTTCTCACCCAATAAAGGAATATTTCATATATCAATCTACTCTTCATTTTATCAGAAACAGTTATCACAGCTCGTAAATTTTCTTTTTACACATATATGTAAGCATTGAGCCAAATTTAGTAATGCCAACATATTAAACGAACAATATTTGTCTCTTATGTATAATACATCTGTATATACACTGTGAAAGGTACTTGTCTTTGAGTGAAGATTTAAGGTGATAGGAAATATAAATAACTGCAACTTGAATCTTTGACCCAGAGTTCAAGCTCACTGCTGTAATATATCCTGTAATATATATATATATCATAATAATCTGACAATAATTTACATTACCACAGTCAGATGATTTTAGTCTCATGAACAACATAAGCTAATTGTTATTTACTAGCTAATCTTAAAATGACTGTTCATTACAGAAATGAAGCCCAACTATCATGTTTTACAGTCCTGTGGTCTCAGCTTCAGATACTCAACTAATCAAAGTGATGTCATGACAAAAATGAATGACCAACAAAACATTTTTTCTCCTTCATTTACAGTGGGGCAAAAAAGTATTTAGTCAGCCACCGATTGTGCAAGTTCCCCCACCTAAAATGATGACAGAGGTCAGTAATTTGCACCAGAGGTACACTTCAACTGTGAGAGACAGAATGTGAAAAAAAATCCATGAATTCACATGGTAGGATTTGTAAAGAATTTATTCGTAAATTAGGGTGGAAAATAAGTATTTGGTCACCTCAAACAAGGAAAATCTCTGGCTCTCACAGACCTGTAACGTCTTCTGTAAGAAGCTTTTCTGTCCCCCACTCGTTACCTGTATGAATGGAACCTGTTTGAACTCATCATCTGTATATAAGACACCTGTCCACAGCCGCAAACAGTCAGACTCAAAACTCCGCCATGGCCAAGACCAAAGAGCTTTCGAAGGACACCAGGAAAAGTATTGTAGACCTGCACCAGACTGGGAAGAGTGAATCTACAATAGGCAAGCAGCTTGGTGTGAAAAAATCAACTGTGGGAGCAATCATCAGAAAATGGAAGACATACAAGACCACTGATAATCTCCCTCGATCTGGGGCTCCACGCAACATCTCATCCCGTGGGGTCAAAATGATCATGAGAACGGTGAGCAAAGATCCCAGAACCACACGGGGGGACCTGGTGAATGACCTGGTGGGCTGTTTTTCTGCCAAGGGGACAGGACGACTGATCCGTGTTAAGGACAGAATGAATGGGGCCATGTATCGTGAGATGTTGAGCCAAAACCTCCCTCCATCAGTGAGAACTTTGAAGATGAAACGAGGCTGGGTCTTCCAACATGACAATGATCCAAAACACACCGCCCGGGCAACAAAGGAGTGGCTCCGTAAGAAGCATTTGAAAGTCCTGGAGTGGCCTAGCCAGTCTCCAGACCTCAACCCCAATAACAAAAATACAACTCAATACTTTGTAACATAACCTTTGTTGGCAATAACAGAGGTCAAACGTTTACTATAGGTCTTTACCAGGTTTGCACACACAGTAGCTGGTATTTTGGCCCATTCCTCCATGCAGATCTTCTCGAGAGCAGTGATGTTTTGGGGCTGTCGCTGAGCAACACGGACTTTCAACTCCCGCCACAGATTTTCTATGGGGTTGAGGTCTGGAGACTGGCTAGGCCACTCCAGGACTTTCAAATGCTTCTTACGGAGCCACTCCTTTGTTGCCCGGGCGGTGTGTTTTGGATCATTGTCATGTTGGAAGACCCAGCCTCGTTTCATCTTCAAAGTTCTCACTGATGGAGGGAGGTTTTGGCTCAACATCTCACGATACATGGCCCCATTCATTCTGTCCTTAACACGGATCAGTCGTCCTGTCCCCTTGGCAGAAAAACAGCCCCTTAGCATGATGTTTCCACTCCCATGCTTCACAGTAGGTATGGTGTTCTTGGGATGCAACTCAGTATTCTTCTTCCTCCAAACACGACGAGTTGAGTTTATACCAAAAAGTTCTACTTTGGTTTCATCTGACCACATGACATTCTCCCAATCCTCTGCTGTATCATCCATGTGCTCTCTGGCAAACTTCAGACGGGCCTGGACATGCACTGGCTTCAGCAGCGGAACACGTCTGGCACTGCGGGATTTGATTCCCTGCCGTTGTAGTGTGTTACTGATGGTGACCTTTGTTACTTTGGTCCCAGCTCTCTGCAGGTCATTCACCAGGTCCCCCGTGTGGTTCTGGGATCTTTGCTCACCGTTCTCATGATCATTTAGACCCCACGGGATGAGATGTTGCGTGGAGCCCCAGATCGAGGGAGATTATCAGTGGTCTTGTATGTCTTCCATTTTCTGATGATTGCTCCCACAGTTGATTTTTTCACACCAAGCTGCTTGCCTATTGTAGATTCACTCTTCCCAGTCTGGTGCAGGTCTACAATACTTTTCCTGGTGTCCTTCGAAAGCTCTTTGGTCTTGGCCATGGCGGAGTTTTGAGTCTGACTGTTTGCGGCTGTGGACAGGTGTCTTTTATACAGATGATGAGTTCAAACAGGTTCCATTCATACAGGTAACGAGTGGGGGACAGAAAAGCTTCTTACAGAAGACGTTACAGGTCTGTGAGAGCCAGAGATTTTCCTTGTTTGAGGTGACCAAATACTTATTTTCCACCCTAATTTACGAATAAATTCTTTACAAATCCTACCATGTGAATTCATGGATTTTTTTTTCACATTCTGTCTCTCACAGTTGAAGTGTACCTCTGGTGCAAATTACTGACCTCTGTCATCATTTTAGGTGGGGAACTTGCACAATCGGTGGCTGACTAAATACTTTTTTGCCCCACTGTATGTCACACAATGCTGTTTAAAACGTTTCTCACGGTTAGTATCATGGTTGCTAGGCAGCGCGAGGAAGGCTAGACCGTCCCATTTCACAAGCCTCTCACTACTTA